CACAATTGTTATACTAACACTAAGTGACCTACAGATACATACAGAACGAATGTTGTAACATAGAACATGGGACATAGAACACAGGACATGGGTATGAGGACATAGGGACAAGGGACACAGGGACATGGGACATGACACACCAACAGACTACCTACCCATTAGGTTCGATCCAAGGACCTTTGCTTGTATTTTGCAAGCGCTCTACCATCTGAGCTAATGTGGGACCTAGTTAGAAGTCACGTATTCTTTAATTTAGCTCTACTTGGTTAATAGTAAACTGAATGGCTATAGCATCTTAATGTATACTTTGTTAATGTGGGGTATTTTGTTAAATTATGCATATTCATTCCTAATACAATACATCTTCTGTTGTGTATTTTTTTATTTTTTGAAAAGTTAGGATATTTTTTTTATATATGGCAAAAGTTGGGGCATTTTTTTTATTCTCTCATATATATAAGGAAATTTTACCTTTCATATATGGAAATAGATATGATTATTCTATAGTTAAAGAAATGTTTCATTTTTTTCAAAACAAATTTGTGGCAAAAATTTTGCCAATCGTAATATTAGACTAAATCTTACAATAAAATCAGCCTTACAGATAATCTTTCAGTCGATATGAAGGAGTTGATAAGAGCTTATTCTTCGCGCCAACCTCATTCCACTTGTGTTAATAATTACAGTAGGCGACATACTAATTGCGTTAGAATCAGGTAGTATCATATTATTGCATGTACGAGCGTAAAGGAAGGTAAAATTGATACAACAACAAAGGGTTGTCGACGTAATTTTATTTTAGACAATACGCGAGCACTTGGATCTCCGAGATGTCTCTCAGCGAAAAAATCTTAGGTCTTGTATGGCAGAAGGACGGACCAAATCTGGTTCGGGTTATTTGGCGTGCAAGTCCATATCTGAACCTTATTCTTTTGCGCCGGGTCCGTGTCCAGGCATTTGTTTTGGTAGCCGATATGCTTGAGCCAACCAGTCTCTCGATCAAATCTCCACAACTGACTAGCATCGTTCTCATCGCACATTGCAACTCGAACAATGGCACCATCAACGTCACGGGTTGCAGTAAGACAGCGACCGGCCAACGATCGCACCAACGGCGTGGATGAATCAGTGAACCACGTCTGCTGATGAATGTTTGACGACATATCCATCATAATCACAATATTGCCGAGTAGAGGATCGACAGACAGATGCAAACCGCCACTGCTGCGAATAACACGTGGCTCCTTAGGATAAATAGTCAGTTGCTGGAAGTTGCTCTTCATCGTATTGTCTTCATCAAAAATCCCAAAGCTGGCCTCAAATTCACTGGTGGAGTTGTTTGAATCCCGTGGCAAGTCGAAACCAGTGTACCAGTAAAAGGTGACATTGCGTGCTTGAGTTGCCAAATAGAGGTCAGAAAAGAACCTAGTTTGGCCCTCTAAAGAACCTATTTCAGTGTTTGGGGCCGAACCACTCGAGGGCCAGCCCGTCTCCGAAATCTCGACAGCCGGTTCAACAGAGTAACCTATGTTAAGACGATCCAAAGTCCTAGCAGCTGCATCGTTTACTTTGCCAATTTCTCGAATAGCAAAAAAGTTTACTGACATGAAGTCCACCGTGGTACGAAGAACGGAGCTCTTAGAATATGTGATGTCAGAATCAGCGGTCGTGATAGACACATTTTTTCCAAGGCTTTGGAAGTAGCTACGAATCTCCAGCAAATTGTCGATGATAGTTTGAGCGGTGACTTCTCCATCGTGAATAGAATTGCTGCCCACGCACACAGCGATAACGGTGTCATCAAACAAACCCTTCTCGATAATGCTACGCAGCTTATCTTTCTCCTGACTGAATGTCGAGGGGTCTTTGGTCACACGAAGACCGACTTGCACGCGAAGACCAGCATTCTTGGCGGCTGGGAGCACGAGATCAGCTTGGTTACATTCCACTAGAGAGGTGATGCGAATTTTATCCGTAACTTCCTTTAATGCGACCAAGTTCTTCTGCACCTCCTCTTCAGACTTGCACCTTTCGGAGTCAGGGGCGGTAACTGCCGCCTTGAATGGGCTGTAATTAACACCGGGGATTTTGACGTTCAAAGCGTCAGTACCACCATTGAGCGTGAGCATCACGGAAGCAGCGACAGCTGGCAAAAAGATCTTCATCGTTTATTTGCTTGATACTCGTCAAGTATGCGAATGAAAGTCTCGTGATTCTTAGCGGACGAAACGATAAATAAGAGTCAATTTTCATGCCCTTCATGCTCTGGATCATGAAGCTTGTGCAGCCACATGAGTTGGAAGATACAAAGAAAAAAAGTGCACAGCCATGATGATTGGTGTCATGGGTTGTAGCAGTCAAATTGCATATTTGCAAGTCTGTGACATATTGTACCTAACCTTTTCTTTGTGACAACATGACGTAAAATGGCATACTTGAGTGCACATCCCCATCCTTGGCGCGCCGTTGCGAAGTAAATCGGGATAGTCCTACAACTCCACTGAGCTGCACATCGGAGAATTTGCAGATTTCTTGGCACTTTTCTGATGCCTTGGCGTGATCAGCAGCTGTCCGATAGAGTGTCTCAGATGATAAGTAAAATAGTGAAACAACCCAAAAGAGCGTTTACGGGATTAATGTAAGGAGTTTTACATTTTTTGCAGATCTGCCATAATCACTTATCGGATCAGTTTGGCACCAAATAGGACTAGGGAAGATCAAATCATGATGTGAAGAGAGATTCTTTCCCATTCTTTGACTTGAGTATATTTTTGCAGTTGAAGCAACTGACGGTCTAGGTAGAAAAAATATTGATTGATCTACCCTCAAATATCAATACAAGGATGCATTATCTTGAGTCTTGCGCCAGGACTACTTTTTATGGGCATAATTGACAACAAATACCCGCTCTACATCAAGCCAATCATATATATTTCAAGAAGGGTCAAGTTTGGGTCCAAAGCCACAAAGTTTTCCATGTTGAATTTAGGGTGGTGTAGAGAGCAGCAACGGGTTTGCTGTACACCTTGCACCAAAAAGCTTTGACTCTACGAGTCCATGTATACAAATGTATAGAACAAACAAAGAGAGGATTTACCAGGATCGGAACGGAGAGCCTCCCACAAATTGGTACCTTGTCGGTTCTTCTTTGCTTTGGAGAGTGACGGACTTTTGAATGTAAATAAGAATTGATACTTCTAAATCACACTGCAAAGGGCTGCCGTTCACCTTACACAGCGGAAGCTCCCACTTAATGAGATTGAAAACAGAGGGATTCAGTTTGTTACTCCGCGCTGGAGGGCGGCTGGGTCCTTAGCAACAATTTCTGCTATTATACTGTAACGGACACGTACTGTACGAGGGTGCAAGTACACTTGATACAATCAGACAGTCATATACATTCGTCCCTCGGATAACTACTGAATGGATTGGATACAATATCTATGGATTAGTCAAGGTTATTAGCTATCCAAGTTTTTTTTGCGAATTTTGTTTCTGCATTGCAAAATTACATTTACATTAAATGTAAATGTAATTTTTTTTTTTAATATGCCACCACACGTTTTACAAATGCGCAGAGGCTCAAGCTCTGCGATCAAAAGGCCAAAATCAGTGGATGATTCAAAGTGCGCTTGAGACATGGGCTACTTATAAGTTTGGCATTGCAATCACTCAATCTGCTATTAGCAGCATCCTCAAAAGAGTCGCGATGTAACGGAATTTCACGTACCCCTGTATGAAAGGGCGGGTCACACAAGATGGTGTGACCGTACAGAGGTGTGGATTACACAAGTTTGTGTAATTACACAATGGTGTGGCTTCACCGTAACAAGTGGCAGGGCTGCCAGTAGTTATGAATATTAACTACCGTGCTTCACAAAAAAAAACACCTGACCTAC